AACTGCAAATTCACATCACTGCTTAAAGGAAGGTCCATCACTGTACCAGGAAATGAGGGATTGATGGTAGTGATATTTCCATCATTTTATTTCAACAGCAGCTTACAGATGAAGGGTCGTAATAAACCCAACCAGAGATTACAACATAAAAATATTGACCATTAGTGGCTTTTTGTGGTAAAAATGGGAAACTTCATGAATTTAGCTAGTAGTGTGTTAGCAAACAGCACTGCATGGCAAGTTTCATTAAGGCATCGTTTGCCAACTAAGAAGTCTCAGTTCTGTTTTACAAAACCAAACAATCCCCACAACCCAAAAAATTAACAGGTTGGTTCCTATTAAGTCTCCCGAAGCTGTTTTTTGTCTCCAAAAACACCAAAGTCCTTTGGCCACAGTTGTATGTTCAATAAACACTGTGTGTTCAGTCTCCCCTTTTTAAGTCTCAAGTTTTTATTCACCACGTGAAGCCCCAGTGAAAAGTTTGTGAGGTGTTTAATCATGTTGCGCAGACTGCAACCAGCCAAAGTGCCAGCTTAGCGCTGGGGTGGAGGCAGGGGCTGGCCAAAGCCCCAGAACCCAGTCACCTCTTCAGCACGGAGCGGCGCGGCCCCGCTCTGACCGGTGTGTGTGTGGGGGGGTCCCTGCAGCCAGCAGCGCGCGGATCCAAGCAGCGCAGGCCGTGGGACGCCAGGTGCGGGGGCGACGGTCCATCCCGGGAGCGCGCCAGCGCGGAGGGCGACGGACCCAGCACTGCCCGGACTCGGGGGGGCGCTGGGACCTGCTGTCCCTGGGGCTGCGCCCGCAGCAAGCTGAGAATCGCGCGGGGCCTCGCGCTGCAGCGAGCTGCTCCCGGCCCCTGGGCCTCGCTGGGCCGCTTCGGGGCCCCGGCACCGCACAGAGACGAGCCGCTCCCTGCTCTGCCCCCAGCTCCAGGCCGGTCCCTCAGCCAGGCAGGGTCTGGGCTCCGCGTCCCCGTGCCGGCCCGGCCCATGGCGGGCTGGAGGGATCTGCGGAGCTGCTCCGGCTACTCACCTGACAACACGCCGGAAGCCGGTAGCAGCGGCCGGGCTCTGTGGTGCGGTGCCCAAATTCTTCCCCGCAGCCCGGCAGGGCGGGTTCCCTGTGGCACACGCCGCTCGCCGCAGCGCCCCCTGCCGGCCTGAGCCTGGGGGCCCTCCCACAACGGCGCAGAAACGGGCCTGGCTGAATAGCGCCCCCAGGCGGTGTCTGCCCGGCCCCGCCCTCGTGCCCGCGTGTGCCCAGCAGGTTGTCCGGGGGATGGGGGCATTCTCAGTGACCTGCTCTTTAGCCTCAGGTCCCACATTATACAGCGCCTGTGGAATGGCCCCACAAACATTTTTGTATTATGCAAATGGTAAATGAGGGCTCCCAGTGTACTTCCAGTCCTTGCTTTGGGTGCCCCTCTCATGTCCCCTCTTCTTATCTCCTCTCTGTACAGGCCCAATCTTTTTAGTCTGCTCTCATACGGAGCCCTTCAAGTCCCCACCGCTTTGTTTCCTGTCTCAGTCAATAAGAAAAACCCACAGCAGTGAGTCGCAGAGCCGGGGGCAACTGACTTGGGTTTGCAGGACTCCCGCTACTGGACTAAAACTAGCAGTGTAGATGTTCGGACTGTGCTAAAATCCAGGCTCCGAAACCTGGGGAGGATGGAGGGTCTCAGAGCCCAGATTCCAGCCCATCAGGAGCATCTATATTGCTCTTTTTAGACTAAATCTCAGTTGACTCCAGACTTCCAGTCCCACTGTCATGGGGTTTTGTTTTGTTTTCTGCAGGGTACTCAGTTCCCTATGTTTCTGCTCTGTCTTTTTTCAGTTTGGATAATTACTCAGCATTCTAAATGAAAATATAACATCAGTTTATATAATGGTTTTAGTATTGTTTTCTCTCCTGTTATTTTGATTGTCTAACATTTTATTTGCTTTTTGACTTCTGCTATGTATTGAACAGAAGTTTTCATTGAACTATCCACAGTGACATCCAGGTCTTTTCCCTGGGTGCTTACATTTCATTTAGATCCCAGCAATGTGTATGAATAGGTTAAATTATTTCTTATTGTGCGCAACTTTTCATTTGCCAGTGTTTCTTGTCTGCCATTATACTGCCCAGTCAGCTAGTTTTGTTAGATCCCTATGCAGTTCCTCACAGTCTTACCTAGACTAAAACTAAATAATCTTGTGTCATTAACCAATATTGCCAGCTCCCTGTCACCCGTCATTCCAGATCGTTTACATATTAAACCACTCCAGTTCTAATGCAGACTTTAGGGCAACTCACTGTTAACCGGTTTCAGAGTAGCAGCCGTGTTAGTCTGTATCCGCAAAAAGAACAGGAGTACTTGTGGCACCTTAGAGACTAACAAATTTATTAGAGCATAAGCTTTCGTGGACTACAGCCCAAGTCTCTAAGGTGCCACAAGTACTCCTGTTCTTTTCACTGTTAACCTTTTGCCATCTTGAAGATCAATCATTAGTTCAAACTTCTTGTTTTCTCCTAGCTGTCAATATCTAATGAGACAAAACTTCACCTCTCATCCCATGACTACTTAGTTTTCTTAAGAGCATCTTGTAAGAGACTTTGCATAAGTAGCACAGGAAAAATATCAAATTCTGATATGAGATGTAAATACAGAAGTATGGCTTCCCAAACCCGCTAATCGACAGAACTGTTTTCTTGCCAAAAAGAAAGGAGAGCAGCAGCAGTTCTCAGGTGATGCTCTGGCACACCAATGATTTATGGAATTCCTAGTCTGCAGAATTTTTGTAAAATGAGCAATAAGTGATTGGGGTGTATTTGACAGGATATGGCCCCTTAGAAAGATCTGTCGCTTACCTTATAAAGTGCCCCACAAAATGACTCAGTTGGAGATCTGCTATTTGACAGAACCTGTTGCTACTGGCACAGGAAAGAAACCTTCCAAACAGCACGTAAGGAGAGCTGTTCTTCCTCTCCCTGAAAAGAAAATGGAGATGTTTCATAATTGTAAATGGGCTCTTGATACTGCTATTCAACCTGAATATCCCCAGAAAGAGGGACTAGGATTTGACTGTCATTCCAAAACACTAAGCAGAGGAACCCACTGGTTCACTAGGCCACAACATCAGTCAATGCAAAAAAGCTGCACAAACAGTGAGACCTATCTGTACCCTTCTTGTCCCTAATCAAATTGGCTTTTTGTTACTCAGAACACAGACCCACTCCTTGCAGCCACATATTCCAGGTGGATTCAGCAGGCTTACAATTTGTGGGGGGTCTCTCCAAGTAAGAAAAGGGCTTCAACTGGCAAAGGAGCCAGGACTTATCTTCCTCTGGTCCAAATTCCAGAGAGGAAGATTGGGCAGTGAGTTACCTCTCCTACTGCTGAATTGGCTTAGTAACTGTTTATCTGCCCCTCCTTCTTGTGCTGCTGAAGGAGGTTGCTGTGTTATGATGAAATATATCTTTTTTATACTGCATAGGAATAACAGATTCCTTATTATGTGGGCAGCGTGACATTTCAGAGTCCTTAACTATTCATATCCTTGATTTTAAGTGGTTGGTACTTAAATTAGGTGATAGGTAACTATACTGTTGTCATTTAGCAACCTTAACTGGCTTTGGAAAGCATTTTTATTGGCTTTCAACCAGAACCCTAATGTTTAAATTATGAACATAAATCCTACATTTACATGTGAAATGTGGAGTTTGAACATATTTTGTGCATGAAGTTTAGGATCTTGTGGTGAGTCATTTGGCTGTAACATTTTTGTACAGTAACTCCTCACTTAAAGTCATCCTGGTTAACGTTGTTTCGTTGTAATGTTGCTGATCAATTAGAGAACATGCTCATTTAAAGTTGTGCAATGCTCCCTTATAACGTTGTTTGGCTGCTGCCTGCTTTGTCCACTGCTTGCAGAAAGAGCAGCCCGTTAGAGCAAGCTGGTCGGGGCTTGGAACCAAGGTGGCCCGGCAGCCCCCCTATCAGGGCTGGCTCCAGACACCAGCCCAGCAAGCAGGTGCTTGGGGCGGCCACGGGGAAGGGGCGGCACGTCAGGCTCTTCGGCGACAATTCGGCAGCGGGTCCCTCGGTCCCTCTCGGAGGGAAGGACCTGCCACCAAATTGCCACCGAAGAAGAAAGCAGCGCGGTGGAGCTGCCGCTGAAAGCGGCTTTTTTTTTTTACCGCCGCTTGGGGCGGCAAAAACCCTGGAGCCAGCCCTGCCTCCATCAGCTCCCCACTCTCCTAAGTTCCCTGTGCAGCTGCCACCCAGCAGGCTATCAATTGCCCGCAGTTCAGCTATCCCTCCCCCCCACTGCCATGTGCTGCTCCTGCCCTCTGCCTTGGAGCTGCTCCCGGGAGCTTCATGCTTGCTGTGCGGGGGAGGACAGGGGGGCTAATGTCAGGGTGTCCCCCTCCCCCCTGCTCCTGCCCCCCACCTTACCCCACTCTCCATAGGGCGGGGGGGACGACGACAGGGCTCAGGACAGAGGGAGTTTGCTGGCAGCAGCTGCTGTCTCAACTTGCTAATCTACATAAAAAGGCAATATACTTAGAGTGGGGTCAGCATACTTAATGCGCATCTCACACACACACACACAGTGTATCTCTGTCTGTCTGCCATGCTGTCTCCCCTCCCTCCATTTGTTCTGCCTTGTAGAGTGTGAAGCTACATTAACAACAATGTGTTAACCCTTGAGGGCTCAGCTGATTGCTTGTTCATCATTTAGCAGTAAGGCATTCCCTGGGAAATATCTCACCCTCTGACTTCACCACCTCAACCAAGCTACACAATTATCATTGCTGTGTACAGTATTAAATTGCTTGTTTAAAACTTATACTGTGTGTATATATATATACACTCTTTCGTCTGGTGAAAAAAAATTCCCTGGACCCTAACCCCCCTTATTTACATTAATTCTTATGGGGAAATTGGATTCGCTTAACATTATTTCGCTTAAAGTCGCATTTTTCAGGAACAGAACTACAACCTTAAGCGAGGAGTTACTGTCTTATATTAATATGATTATTTTATTTTTGACTGTGTCCAGAAGCTTACCAGGCTCTTTGCAGAACACAGAGAAAGGCAGAGCACCTGGCCAGAAGTGCTTCCTATTTAATTTTATGCATTCCACCTTTTCTTTGTGAAATACAGTGAAATACTTGGAGTACAATGCAATAGGTGAACAAATCTGTGTTTTATATGCTTTATACAGATTTGAGGCCAGACCTGCATTCGGTTATACACAAGTGTGTGCAACTGAGATGGCAATCTCACCGTCTATGTTCAGGCAGAGATTAAACAGTCTCCTCTGTCAATATTTAGGTTGACTCCTCCTACTTTTGCTCATTTCCTTGAAATCTTTGTGTTTCTGAACCCATTGAGTAATAAAGGGAGTATTTAGCAAAGTAAGACTTAGAGGCTGCTGAACTTCCTTGTTAGCCCTGAATTCCAGGCAGGTGCACCTGTCTGTCAGCAAAGAGCTGGGTGAGGCTTTAAGGCAGCTGCCAAGATAGCCAGATCCTGAAGGACTTTAGAGAGGAATCTGTTTTATTTGTGTATACAGAGAGAAAATGGCATATCGAGACTTAGTGAGAGGCTGGCATGAAGGAATTCTGGCTATGGATAAGGGGGACTGGGATTCTGCCTTGAAAATCTTCTCCAGTATCGAAGAGCCATCCTCCAGGATCTATTTCAACATAGGCTGTGTGCATCTCTCAACAGGGAACCCCGAGGGAGCCTTGCAGGTGAGCAAAAGAAAGAAAAAGCAAGTCAAAAATATAGGAAGGGAATCTTGTGTTTTGTGTTTACTTTTATCTGGGAAAGAGAAGAGATGGTTAACTCTGAATGGAAAGTGGAAATCTGCCATTATATTATTTCTTAGGAGATTTTCTAGTTATTATTATTTGAATTACCATAGCGCAGATAGAACGGGGAAAAGAAAATTATACTTTGCTACTGAGCAAACCTTACAGTACATATTTCAGAGGAATTTATGGTTGCCTGATATCAGACATATCTAATTCCGTTCCTGCTCATGAATCCGAGAACAAGCCAGATTCTCTTACATTCTGTTTCTCCCCCTTCCTCAGTCAGTAAAGACCTTGATCATTGAAAACTGTGTCTTAGATTTATATGTGATGGCACATTTAAGTAAACTGGTGGTTTTTCCAATGTGGCTATGACTTAATTGTGGCTCATTAATGGTAAATCTATGCAGTTGTCACAGTGGTTACACCCGAGAGGCCAATCTCAAGTCAGACACCCCAAACTAGTGGTAACTAGATATCACCAAACCAACAACAAATGTGCGCTCCTGGATTACTATATTAGTCTCACCATGCCAAGTAATTCACATTGGAAAACATAATCCCAACTATACATATAAAATGGTGTCTAAATTAGCTGTTACCACTCAAGATAGATCTTGGAGTCATTATTTAAAATCATGGTAAAGGAGACGCACCCCTTACTTTCCAAAAGCACATACTAACTAAAATAACCTTCCTGGATGGGGTTCTGCTTTGACACCCACTGCCATGAACTAAGTTTACCACAGCTATGCAATGGCTCCCTTTATTCATCTGGGAAGTAGGCCCATCTGTGGGTTTAAGATAAGCAGGAATACTGACTTTTATGTGCATGGTGAGGAATCTTTCCATTTTCTCCTTCACATCCCCCACTCTCCATCCTATCACCACCTGCTTTCAATGATCCCCTCTCAAACCAAGTGGTTCCCAAAATGATTCTCCCCATGGCTCACCTGTGTCTGCTCACAGTGGCCAAGAACAGGCTATACAAGGTGTTTCCAGGTGTGAACAGCCAATTATGCTTCAGGCAAATAGGCCTTCAGATTACAGGAGCCTGAGCTGCATTCCATAATCCTGATTCCTAACAGGGTTATTTTAGGAACATTCCATCACTTTCTCCTGGGACTGGTTCTAATCTGCAAGATATCATTTTGATGGTTCACATACATTCTTCCCCCACACAGGAACTGCTCCTGGATTTCAGCCACCATGCCCTTCCATCGCTCTAACAAATGCCTTGCAATCACATCTCTCAGGCACCAGCTCTGTTATGTGGTTTAGCTAACTTTTGTCATGTCTGTATTTTTCTTCTTAGGCCTTTGATAAAACAGTTACCAAGGACAACCATCTAGCTGTTGGCTTCTTTCAAAGAGGGTTTGTCTGTCTGCAGTTAGAAATGTAAGTGTAATGCTTGTTCATTTCACTCTTTGCCTCTCTTTCTTTAATGATATTTCACTCTTCTGAAGTGCATTTTATCTAGTGTTCTCAATGCACTTTGCAAATATCAGTTAAGCCTCAGAAGATCTTTGGTCAGTATAATCTCCATGTTACAGTTGGGGAGCTGAGGTTTAGAGAAGGGAAGTGACTTCCCCAAGGCCTCACAGTGAATCAGTGGCTGTAGCATGCAGACTCACCCCTGCGGCGCCTCCTGATAGTCATCTCAGGGAATTAGCTCTGCCAGCCTTGGAGCACCCTCTGCAGGCCTGTGATCTGCCTTGCCGCTGGCCCCGTGTCCCTCCCAGGACCACGGTGCCCCTTTCTCTAGGTGCTGCCCCCTGGCAGTACCCCCACAGTTCTGGGTCTCCCCCTCCCAGGGGAACCCCCACCCACTATCCCCACTTTGCCTCAGTCTTGGCTACTGCCCAATTTCCATCTAGCCCCCATTCACTGGGGCAGATTGTAGTATCAGCCACTCATCACAGGCAAAGGGGTTCAGACCCATGGGCTGCCCCCTGCAATCCAGTACCTAATAGGTCTTACCAGGCCTGCAGCCTGGGGTTTTCCTAGGCTGGAGCTCCCCAGCTCCCTTGGCCTTTCCTCAGCCCTGCTCCACTCCAGGTATTTGGTTAAGCTCCCTGCAGCCAGGCCCTTCTCTCTGAATGCAGAGAGAGACCTGTCTGCTTGAGCGCCTGGCTCAAGCCTTTATAGGGCCGGCATGGCCCCAGCTCAGCCTGCTTCCTCCCAATCAGCCCAGCTTTTCCCCTGCCACAGACCTCTCCCAGGGCTGTTTTAAGCCTTTCCAGGCAGGAGCGGGTGACCACCCTGCTACACAGGCATAGCAAGGTACAGAACACAGACTCTGATTACCATACTGCATTATATGTGTACTCAGACACCCCAAAGGCAAAAGTTAATAAACTTAAAGACCATATAACTTATAGACATAGCACATACACCCTCTCTAAAACTCTGGTATCTGGGTCCATCCAGAATCTTCCAGCCATTGAGCAAAGACAAGAAACATAGAAGTCACCGTAGTAAATCAGACAATTGATCTATCAAGTCTGGTATCCCACCTCCACAGGAAAAGCTGTTTACTAGGGCTGTCGATTAATCGCAGCTAACTCACGCGATTAACTCAAAAAAATTAATCGTGATTAAAAACATTAATTGCAGTTTTAATCGCACTGTTAAACAATAGAATACCAATTGAAATTTGTTTAATATTTTGGATGTTTTTCTACATTTTCATATATATTGTATTCTGTGTTGCAATTGAAATCAAAGTTTATATTAATTTTGATTACAGAAACCTGGTGGAGTGGGGACAATCAATGGGACACAATCATTCCAGGGTACAAAATATATCGGAAGGACAGAACAGGTTGTGCGGGGGGGGTTGGGGGTGGGAGTGGGACTATATGTGAAAGAAAATGTAGAATCAAATGAAGTAAAAATCTTAAATGAATCCACATGTTCCATAGAATCTCTATGGATAGTAATTCCGTGCTCTAATAAGAATATAACCGTAGGGATCTATTATCGACCACCTGACCAGGACAGTGATAGTGACGATGAAATGCTAAGGGAGATTAGAGAGGCTATCAAAATAAAGAACTCAATAATAGTGGGTAATTTCAATTATCCCCATTTTGACTGGGTGCATATCACCTCAGGACAAAATGTAGAGACAAAATTTCTCGATACTTTAAATGACTGCTTCTTGGAGCAGCTGGTACAGGAACCCACAAGGGGAGAGGCAACTCTCGATTTAATTCTGAGTGGAGCGCAGGAGCTGGTCCAAGAGGTAACTGTAACAGGACCGCTTGGAAATAGTGACCATAATATAATAACATTTAACATTCCTGTGGTGGGAAGAAAACCTCAACAGCCCAACACTGTGGCATTTAACTTCAGAAAGGGGAACTATGCAAAAATGAGGGGGTTAGTTAAACAGAAATTAAAAGGTACAGTGACTAGAGTGAAATCCCTGCAAGCTGCCTGGACACTTTTCAAAGACACCATAATAGAGGCCCAACTTCAATGTAGACCCCAAATTAAAGAACACAGTAAAAGAACTAAAAAAGAGCCACCGTGGCTTAACAACCATGTAAAAGAAGCAGTGAGAGATAAAAAGGCATCTCTTAAAAAGTGGAAGTCAAATCCTAGTGAGGTAAATAGAAAGGAGCATAAACACTGCCAAAATAAGTGTAAACATGTAGGAAGAAAAGCCAAAAAGGAGTTTGAAGAACAGCTAGCCAAAAACTCAAAAGGTAATAACAAAATGTTTTTTAAGTACATCAGAAGCAGGAAGCCTGCTAAGCAACCAGTGGGTCCTCTGGACGATTGAGATAGAAAAGGAGCACTTAAAGACGATAAAGTCATTCTGGAGAAACTAAATGAATTCTTTGCTTCAGTCTTCACAGCTGAGGATGTTAGGGAGATTCCCAAACCTGAGCCGGCTTTTGTAGGTGACAAATCTGAGGAATTGTCACAGATTGAAGTGTCACTAGAGGAGGTTTTGGAATTAATTGATAAACTTAACAGTAACAAGTCACCGGGACCAGATGGCATTCACCCAAGAGTTCTGAAAGAACTCAAATGTGAAATTGCGGAACTATTAACTAGGGTTTCTAACCTGTCCATTAAATTAGCTTCTGTACCCAGTGACTGGAAGATAGCTAATGTAACACCAATATTTAAAAAGGGCTCTAGAGGTGATCCCAGCAATTAGTTGAAACAATAGTAAAAAATAAAATTGTCAGACACATAGAAGAACATAAATTGTTGGGCAAAAGTCAACATGGTTTCTGTAAAGGGAAATCATGTCTTACTAATCTATTAGAGTTCTTTGAAGGGGTCAACAAACATGTGGACCAGGGGGATCCAGTGGACATAGTGTATTTAGATTTCCAGAAAGCCTTTGACAAGGTCCCTCACCAAAGGCTCTTACATAAATTAAGTTGTCATGGGATAAGAGGGAAGATCCTTTCATGGATTGAGAACTGGTTAAAAGACAGGGAACAAAGGGTAGGAATAAACGGTAAATTTTCAGAATGGAGAGGGGTAACTAGTGATGTTCCTCAAAGGTCAATCCTAGGACCAATCCTATTCATGTATTCATAAATGATCTGGAGAAAGGGGTAAACAGTGAGGTAGTAAAGTTTGCAGATGATACTAAACTGCTCAAGATAGTTAAGACCAAAGCAGACTGTGAAGAACTTCAAAAAGATCTCACAAAACTAAGTGATTGGGCAACAAAATGACAAATGAAATTTAATGTGAATAAATGTAAAGAAATATACATTGGAAAAAATAACCCCAGCTATACACACAATATGATGGGGGCTAATTTAGCTACAACAAATCAGGAAAGAGATCTTGGAGTCATCGTGGATAGTTCTCTGAAGACATCCACGCAGTGTGCAATAGCAGTCAAAAAAGCAAACAGGATGTTAGGAATCATTCAAAAAGGGATACAGAATGAGACGGAGAATATCTTATTGGCCTTATATAAATCCATGGTACACCCACATCTCGAATACTGCATACAGATGTGGTCTTCTCATCTCAAAAAATCACTTAATCATTACCTGTTAGGTTCACTCCCTCTGGGATACCTGGCATTTGTCACTGTCGGTAGACAGGGTACTGGGCTGGATGGACGTTTTGTCTGAGCCAGTATGGCCATTCTTATGTTCTTATGTTCTTTGCACTGTAAAATGATAAACAAAAGAAATAATATTTTTCAGTTCACCTCGTACAAGTACTGTAATGCAATCTCTTTATCGTGAAAGTGCAATTTACAAATATAGATTTTTTTTTGTTATATAACTGCATTCAAAAACAAAACAATGTAAAACTTTAGAGCCTACAAGTCCACTCAGTCCTACTTCTCGTTCAGCCAATCGCTAAGACAAACAAGTTTGTTTACATTTACGGGAGATAATGCTGTCTACTTCCTATTTACAATGTCACCAGAAAGTGAGAACAGGCATTCTCATGGGACTTTTGTAGCTGGTATTGCAAGGTATTACATGCTAGATATGCTAAACATTTGTATGGCACTTCATGCTTCGGCCACCATTCCAGAGGACATGCTTCCATGATAATGACGCTTGCTAAAAAAGTAATGCATTAATTAAATTTGTGACTGAACCCCCCGGGGGAGAATTGTATGTCTCTGGCTCTATTTTACCTGCATTCTGCCACATATTTCATGTTATAGCAGATGACCAAGCACAGTTTATTTTAAGAACACTTTCACTGCAGATTTGACAAAACGCAAAGAATGTACCAACATGAGATTTCTAAAGATAGCTACAGCACTTGACCCAAGATTTAAGAATCTGAAGTGCCTTCCAAAATCTGAGAGGGACGAGGTGTGAAGCATGCTTTCTGAAGTCTTAAAAGAGCAACACTCTGATGTGGAAAGTGCAGAACCTGAACCACCAAAAAAGAAAATCAACCTTCTGCTGGTGGCATCTGACTCAGATAATGAAAATGAACATGAGTCAGTCAGCACTGCTTTGGGTTGTTATCGAGCAGAACCCATCATCAGCATGGATGCGTGTCCCATGGAATGCGTGTCCCTGGTTGAAGCATGAAGGGACATATGAATTTTCACTTCTCGGAGTTCAAGCAGCAGAGAGTTACTGTTCCTTCTTGTCAGGGATTTATATTCTCTTCGCCCAGAGCTCAAGATGATGGGATGAGTTCACCTGCAGGTCTACTCTCCCTGAATGTGAGGGTGTGACGAACTGGGACTGTTCTTACTGTGGTGTGTGAATGCTGACAGGGGAGTGTGGCTAGGATAGTCTGCATTGGGGGATGGGAATCTGCCCGAAGGTGAATACCTGGGCGTGTAACATGAGAACCCAGGAAGGGGTTGGAGGCCAGGTGACACCTTGGCCCGGGAAACTGAACAAAGGTTGGAGGAACGTCAGTGGAATCATATTCTGTTAGAATGTACCGTTCTGTTGAGAAGTTCATTTAGGAAGAAGAAAGGGGAGAAAGGTTTAGACAATGTCAAAACAAAATATTTCAATTCTTCATTTTGAAAAGACTATTCATTTTGATTTTTTAAAATTCTGTATGGAAATGAAATGTTTTCAGCAACTTGAAATGAAACAAAAATTCCTTTGCAGAGAGCTTCACATTTTTCAAATTTGGAATAAAGTCAAATTAGAACTCTGGAATTCGTTCTCCAAGCAGAACTTCCATCCTCTGCACAGCTCTAATTCAGAGCAATTCCATTTGTAGTCAGTGAAGTTCCTCTGTATTTATACATACATTGTTCAAAAAAGATTGTTTGTCTACACAGCAAAGACAAACCCCGAGCTGGCCCATGGGGGAGGGATAGCTCAGTGGTTTGAGCATTGGCCTGCTAAACCCCGGGTTGTGAGCTCACTCCTTGAGGGGGCCATTTAGGGATCTGGGGCAAAAATCTGTCTGGGGATTGGTCCTGCTTTGTGCAGGTGGTTGGACTAGATGACCTCCGGAGGTCCCTTCCAACCCTGATATTCTATGACTCAGGCTCAGACTGCGGGGCTGTTCCATTGCTGCATAGACTTCTGGGCTCTGCCTGCAACCTGAGCTCTGGGACCCTCCTACCCCACAGGGCCCTAGAGCCCAGGCTCCAGCCCTGGCCTGTAAGTCTCCACTACAATTAAACAGGCCTGAGCCCTGAGAGTCCAAGTCAGCTGGCACAGGCCAGCTGCAGGTTTTTCTCAGACCCTTCCCTTTTAGTTGGGAATTGTTGTCCAATATCAGCATTACCCTTCAGCACTTCCTTTTTCTCTGAAATTTCTGCAAGGACACTAGCTAGGATAAAATTGCAAGGGATCCCAATTCCCATAATTGGAGCATAATGTGAACAGTTTCTACAGTTAGCAAGGAACTGTTAGCCTTTTCACTTTCCCATCTCCTCAGTATCATGACAGCATTTTGGATGTCAAAAGTTAACAGACTCAGACAGTGGGATAAGACCAGATCATCATGGAAGAAAGGGAAGCAATAGTCTAAATTTAGTGATTCTGCATGTTTCTCCAGTGAAGCTTCCTCTAACCCAGGCTGTTGGGAAGAGAAGAATCCTCTTTGCTAGTCTGGTTCCTGAGCTTGATACTTTTCCCTGCAAATTTGGGGATTCAGTTCTCATCTTCATCTCTATCCTTGTGCACTGCAGGTATGAAGAAGCGCTGTATGACTTCAGCATGGCCCTCACTCACCTAAGAAATAACCCTTTCATTGACTACAAACAACTGGGACTAAGGCATATGCTCTGTGCCTGGGAGGTGAGTGTGTAGGTGGGTAGGAGATATGTCTTTACTTATCAGCAATGGAAAGCCAACCAGATGCTTTCCAAGCTGTGTCCATCATAATTTCTGTGTTTAACGGTAAAACCCTGATATCCAGATCTATATGAGGATATGAGTGTGCTGCCAGTCCAAATTGCACAATACACCTCTACCTCGATATAACGCTGTCCTCGGGAGCCAAAAAATCTTACCGCGTTATAGGTGAAACAGCCTTATATTGAACTTGCTTTGATCCACCGGAGTGTGCAGCCCCACCTGCCCGGAGCACTGCTTTACCGCGTTCTATCCAAATCCGTGTTATATCGGGTCGCGTTATATCGAGGTAGCGGTGTATTAGCACTGCCCTGGAGCTTACCCGCTAGCTTGGGAAAACTGGGAGAAAGTGATCTAATTCCAAAATTCAAACAGTATTTTTATATTGAGAGAGTGAGTAGCTGAAAAGAAATGTGTACAGAACATGTGAATGGAGATGAGACCACCCAACTTTCTCTCTCTAGTTCTACTGAGATTGTTGAGTTGCAGTTAATCCAGTTAAGGAGTAGAGAGTAGTTCCTGAGAGGCATGGGTTTTTCCTTAAATTTCATCCCCGTAGAATGCATATCAGTGTTGCATTGAGCTAAAGATACGGTCTTTGGCCAGACTGCAGTCTCTGTAGAGATCCCTTGAGACCAATACCAGTGTTGTGCATAAATTTTGAGAATGGAAGCATGAGCAAAAACCACATATCCATGTTCCTGTACACAAAAATGTCACATTATCTGCTGCTTATCACAGGTCCACCGGTCATGGATTCACAGGGCTGGTCTATGCCCCACGCTGTAACCCATCCCTTGGGAGTGACCCTTTTAGTGGGCCGGGCACCAGGGAACCACACAGTTCCACAGGGCAGGCTGTAGTCTCTCAGACTCCGAGACTGGGCCTTTGGGCACCAGTGGTCCCTGTCTCTTTCCATGACTATCTGCAGCAAATCCAGCCAAGCCAGACACCTACAGGAGGCTGGTAAGGTTGCCAACCCTCCAGGGTTGTCCTGGAGTCTCCAGAAATGAAAGATTAATCTTTAATTAAAGATTATGTCGTGTGATGAGACCTCCAGGAATACGTCCAACCAAAATTGGAAACCCTAAAGGCTGGTACTGTACCCAGTCAGAGCGCAAGGCTCACAGTGAGTACTTGCAGCAACACAGGCAGCCTTTTCAAAACAAGGTAACAATTTATTAATCACCTGTCTACAGAATCTGAGAGTTCTTAGGTTAGCACAGGAAAGTAAAAGTTAAGGCATAGTCCGTCCTGGCCACGCCAATGCAATGAAAGCTGTTTTCAACTCTAGTTCTGCTCTGGCTCTTTGCCTTCATTCCAGATGAGAGCTGCTGAGTCCCTCCACAGGGCAGCCCTTATTCGAGCCACCTGACACCTTTTTGCCTTTGTTCTCCAGCTGAGTTCGCATGTTCGGCCTGGGGGGCGGAGTTCTTTTTATTAGGTGTCAACTGTTCAGTCTTCAGGGTGGGGCAAAGGGTGAGGGTGGGGGTCTTATTGTCTCTTCACATCCTCTGTTGACCTGGATTAGTTGCAACCTGTTAATGACCCAGCACAGCAAAGTGACACATATACCTCATAACTCCTGAGCTGTTCCAGAAGCAGTGTTAACCCTTTTGCACCCACAAGGTAGCAATGCAAAGTATAGAAGGAAACTGAGGCACACATAAATTCCTAAAAATAGGACAGAAAATTCCCATTTCTTCACACATCCCATGGGCCTAACTGGAAGACATGGCCCTAAGAATGCAAACTTTGAACAAATCCCAAGTGGTAGTTAACAAGGCCTAGTCTGCAACTGGTAATGTTATTGGGCACATTCTTTTAAACTCCCAATGTTCTGTCCAATAATTATAAATGTAAACACAACAAAAATTATTGCTGCACCATATAAAAGAAAGACAATTTACACAACACTGGAAATAATCTTAATGTCTGTGTATGTTCTTTACTCAGTGTATATATTGGGGATTCTATCCCATGTGTCAGATGTGATGGGTTGTTGTGACTTCCCCCAGCTCATGCACAGTGAATTTCTGTTTACACCTCTCTGAGGAATTAAGGGACAGAGATCACAGACTAGTGCAGTCTGTGTAACAAAGGGGTTTTGAGAAGTGAAAACAGTTTAAACACAGATGCAGCTGTTGTACAGGGGCATATTTTTAGCTAGTCTCCTTTACATTACTTTGTTTCCTGTGTCCTGAGTCTTTTTGGATGCACTGAAAATCAGGTAAAAAAAAGAGAGAGTTTAATATTTAGACTCCCCTAAATATGAAGAGTCATTGTGTGTCTCCAGTCAGACAGGTCCCAGAATCTGTCAGGCAACTTTATTCATGCATGTGCTCCTTAAAATGCAAGGCACTAAAGCTTCTATACAGCAGCAGGGTAACTTTATGGATCTCGCCCTGCATTTCCTTCCACTCTGTTGTCATGCCTTTGAAAACAATGGGTATGCCTTTTGAGAGTGCAGGGCCCCAGGCACATCTGAAGGGTGGCTGGGGGAATGGGATTGGTGCACACGCTGGCAAGCACAAACATTTATTCATGAAGCATCCTTTAGAAGATATCAAGATGTGTATTCACACCATGTTGACCCTCTAATGTCCTCTGAAAAGGTTTCACATTTTGCAAAATATGAAAACAAAATCCCATTGGAGGATTTCACCATCAGCACACATGTATGGCGATGGTGATAAATCATCATTTGTGATTAATGCTCTAATGATCTGCTTTCATCTGAGTATCTCAAAGAGCTTTACAAAAATAAGGGCTAAACCCAGGTCCCACACAGGCTTTTTGGAAAAAATAACCCCAACTATACATACAATATGATGGGGGCTAATTTAGCTACAACAAATCAGGAAAAAGATCTTGGAGTCATAGTGGATAGTTCTCTGAAGATGTCCACGCAGTGTGCAAAAAAGCAAACAGGATGTTAGGAATCATTAAAAAGGGGATAGAGAATAAGACGGAAAATATATTATTGCCCTTATATAAATCCATGATACGCCCACATCTTGAATACTGCATACAGATGTAGTCTCCTCATATCAAAAAAGATATACTGGCTCTAGAAAAGGTTCAGAGAAGGGCAACTAAAATGATTAGGGGTTTGGAGATGGTCCCATATGAGGAGAGATTAAAAAGGGTAGGACTTTTCAGCTTGGAAAAGAGGAGACTAAGGGGGGATATGATAGAGGTATATAAAATTATGAGTGATGTGGAGAAAGTAGATAAGGAAAAGTTATTTACTTATTCCCATAATACAAGAACTAGGGGTCACCAAATGAAATTAATAGGCAGCAGGTTTAAAACAAATAAAAGGAAGTTCTTCTTCACACAGCGCACAGTCAACTTGTGGAACTCCTTACCTGAGGAGGTTGTGAAGGCTAGGACTATAACAGCGTTTAAAAGAGAACTGGATAAATTCATGGAGGTTAAGTCCATTAATGGCTATTAGCCAGGATGGGTAAGGAATGGTGTTCCTAGCCTCTGTTTGCCAGAGGGTGGAGATGGATGG